GAGATATCCTGCCAAGGACTATTAGGTATTGGAAGTGACTGGAGAAGCCCTGTTCGTGGCTGACCTCCCTTCGTTCGCTGGCAGAGATCACAGGTTTTGACAAATCTCTTGATATCGAGACCCATTCGGGGCCAGTAGAAAAAACGTGCTAGGCGGAAGTACGTTCGATCACGACCCGGGTGGCCAGCCGTTGCACACTCATGGTGTTCTTGAATGAGCTTTAACCGGACACCGCACTGTGGTATGCACAACCGGTTATTGGGGGATGCCTTGAGGTACAAGCGATCAGTGGATTCGTCCCAATAATAGCGATCATGCAAATTATCTCGGAGAGAATGCTTCAATCTTTCTATGATGGGAGTTAGCTCTTTGTCTCTCTGGTAGGCATCTGATATTGTATTGGACACGTCATCATTCATTGCTAAAGCATACTCAATAGCATTCAAACGTGGTACTGCATTCTCCACGAGGTTACTCTCATGGAGATCTGGGCGACGCGAAAGGGGATCTGCAGGGTTCTCTCTGCCGGGTCTGTGACGGACTGTGTAGTTATAGTCAGCTAGGAATTCAACCCATCGCGCCTCTCTCTTTGTAATGCTTGGTTTTGTTTTCAGATAAACTACCGCCATGTTGTCTGTAATGACCTCAAAGTGTTGAAAGAGGTAGATGCGCCAGGTCTTTAGCGCAAACACTACGGCCAATGTTTCTCTTTCTGTAGCTGTATAATTCTGTTCCGCAGCAGACAATTTTCGGCTAGCATAAGCCACTGGATGCCAGGCATCTTCCTCTAGTTCTTGGAGAAGAACACATCCCAAGGCGAAATCGCTTGCATCTGTTACCACTCTGAATGGTCGGTTCACATCAGCCAGCCGCAATAGGGGCGCATTCAACAAGGCATGCTTTAGCGATTCAAAGGCATGTTGCCGAGAGCTGTTCCACTCGAATCGTGCATGTTTTCCCGTTATCTCCTCTAAGTTCTTAGAGAGCGATGAGTATTGAACTATGAATCGCCTAAAATAATTCGTAAATCCAAGAAATTGCCTCACCTCTGTGACGGAAGTCGGAGCGGGCCAGACCTTTACTGCGGCAATCTTGTCTGGGTCAGGGGCGATGTGCAGTCCATCGATGCAATGTCCCAGGAACCGCACACTCTCCACGCCAAATTCACATTTTGACCGTTTGCAAAATAACTGGTTGTCCCGGAGCACGCTCAATACCGACCGGACATGCTGCATATGCTCCGACCACGTTTTGCTGAAGATGAGTATGTCATCTAGGAACACGACTACGAACTCCCTCAGATATGGTTGAAGAATCGTATTCATCATGGATTGAAATGTTGCCGGTGCATTGGTGAGACCAAATCCCATGACCCTAAATTGGTAATGCCCAAAGGGAGTGTTAATCGCGGTTTTGGGCACGTCCTCAGCTTGAATGCGAATCTGATTATACCCTGATCGGAGGTCTAGTTTCGTGAAGTACCTAGCGCCCTGTACGGTATCGAATAAATCATCCACATTGGGCAAGCACGCCTTGTTCTTAACAGTTATCTTGTTTAGCTCCCTCCAATCGCAGACCATGCGTAACGAACCATCAGCTTTCTTGACAAAAAACACCGGTGCACCAAAGGGGGACTTACTTGGTTCTACGAAACCCTTTTTCAAGAGTTCTGTGAGCTGTTTCTTCAATTCCTCCATTTCTGGCCTGGGCAGGCGATAGGCAGGTCGCGATGGGGGTGATGAGCCTTCCTCCAGGCGGATTTCGTGGTCTACAGACCTCTCTGGTGGGAGTCTAGCTGGCAGATCATCCGGGAAAAGATCGTCATAGTCACGGAACATGGCCTTGAGATCTGGGTGCTCGTTCTGAGTGGATTTGTCGGGAGGTTCCTTGCCAATGCCGTCTTCTACGCTGACCCACGCCAGAACACCTTCGTCTCCACTCCTAAGGGCATGCCTAGCCTGACGACCAGATATGAACATCGCCTCCACAGGAGCGGTCGGTTCGCTTTGACTGGGCGACGCACAAGGCAAACCATTCGAGTTCAACCTGACTTCATTCGTCCGGAAGTTTATGTCTGGATTGTTACGCGTTAACCAAGGTTTCCCCAATATAGCGTCATAGCGATGAAGGGGGAACACCGTGAAGGTTTGGTTATCGCTGAAGTCGCCTACGATAACCTTCAATTCATGGGTCGTCTCCATGGGAAACGAGCTTGATGCTCCATCAGCCAGCGTGACATTCAGGTTTTCCGAGCCAATTTCGGTTGGCAGGTTAACTCTCCTGGCAAACTGTTCGGCAATGAAATCATGGGTCGAGCCCGAATCTATTAACATAAGCGCGCGACGACCGTTGATTTTGCCTTCTACACGCAGGAGCTCATGTTCCGTTTCCACATTGACGCTGGTAACCTGGGCCTCAATAGTTGGTGTAACGTCTCGCTTGAAATTGGCTTCGGAGCATTCAGCATCATCGTCAACATCCTCCACAGCGAGGCTACTGAATCGGTTACGGGTAGAGACGGAGCACACACTACACGCAGGTGATGCCTTTTCTTGCTGCGTCAGTAATCGCATCGGCCTTACTGACGTCCACCGTTTGGGTGATCTCGATGCTGCGGGCAATTCTGGGCCATATGGCCTGGTCGACGACATGCGAAGCAGCCCCCCTGGGCTCGTAATGTCTCACGTTCCTCGGGGCTTAGTTTTGTTAGCTTTCTGCTACCTGATGGTGGTGCGAATCCCGGCGCGGTCGCCAGTGGTGGTCTGCGCTGAAATCGGCTGTCTGAGGCGACTGCTAGCGCTGACTGAACGGCGGCTGACAGTGTAGTGGGGTGTTCCTTCACTACCAAGGTCCGCATGTTACCGTGCAGGCCGTTGACAAATAGCAAGGCTCTGGAGAGTTCGTCAAGTTCCGGCACCTGTAAACTTAGCCGAGAAAACTCCGTTACGTACGATTCAATTGACCCACGCTGTTGGATAGAGAACATATCCAACCGCACTCTTTCCCCATCATAGTGCGGGCCATACACTCGCGCTAGGGCGCTTTTCAAAGAATGCCAATCCGAAAATTGCTCACCTGCTTCCAGGGAAGAAATTAGCCAAAGACGCGCATTCCCAGCGAGGTAGCTAGCCGCAAAGTTAACTTGGCTCTCCGGGTCACCTTGAGGTGAGCACTTCAAGGCTAACTCGACCGTAAATACCCATTCTTTGAACTCGGAAGGGTTGCCATGGAAAACATTCGGTTCTCTGGTAACGCGTTTGACGCTCGGGCTTGTCTGGGAGAGAGAACGCGATCGACACGGGGCTAGATCCGGAGGACTTGAGCTTGATGTAGCAGGTAATTGATGTCGTCCAACTGTAGCAGCCACGTTGTCCCTAGCGCGGCGGATCTCACGGAAAGCGGCATATAGCAGAGCAGTAGCGGCCAGGAGCACAAGGCACGTCAAAGGGCAAACGATGATCTCAACCATCCTCAAGCTACCAGTGTAACAGTATAGACTTGATTGATTGGAGAATTCGTCGAATGATGTTCAAACCAGAGGTTATAAAGCAAAAGAAAGGTGAGAACCGCAGGAGTGAGAATAGTAGGAACACAAGGTGTTACCATAAGACAAGCAAGAAGTGTCAAGGTAAAACTATTACAGGTTATGTACTCTTGTTAGAACCTACCAAGTACAGTAGAAGGCTGTTGGTTTGCTTATTAGTTATGAGTTATGGTACATACATATACATGTACATGTCACTGTTGGTCTTGGACAAATAATTACGGATAACATGATGTGCACTGACTGTATTGTAATACCAAGAGTACATAACTTTAACCTGGGGTTACTCAATCTGTGGACAGCATCCTGGTAGTTACATGTATGCGCTCTGAGTCTTGGTTATAGTACTATTGCTACAAGTAGTAGTAGTCTGCCAGTCTCTGGACTCTGATCTGGCTAGGCTGAGCCCTTTGTGCTGGAACCATTACTCATTACTGACATTAGTAGGCATTACACTACCTACTGGCAACCAACCACGACCCGCCTCGTATTGAGTCGTAAGCGCTAGCCTCAGTCAGACACACGTCGCGACTTCGGTAGGCTAGCTCAAGCCTGGGAGAGTAAGTCAGACAGTACTGTGGCTAGCACTATTGCCTACACTAGGCTACAGTATTCAAGGCCTTCCATCGGGTTCCGAGTACATGTACATGCGCCAGCTAGCTACAATGTAAGTGCCAGTACCTGTACATGTTTGTATATGGCTACACCAACACCATGTTAGTGTATGTAGCCTCCTGTACTACTGTACTCTGTAGTGTAGATCTACCATGGCCTACTACCAGAAGTAATGGAGTAATATAATGCCTAATGCCTAATAATAATAATAAAAAAATAAAGTAATGGGTTCTTGTCAATCTTGAACCGTTCTTCTATTCTTTCTGCTTCTATCTACATATATGTACTAGTAGTAGTAGTCATACTACATGTAGTACTACTGATGTAGTGCCAGTCAGTGGGCACTCAGTCTGGCCTGTGAGTGACAATCATGCAGTGAGTCATTGCAACAATTTTTACATGCCCAGGACCAGAATCTAGTGTTTCCCGGGACAGTCCCCACAACAACGCCCTGTCCATACCTACCTTGAAGATTTGACAGGTGTCCCCATGTTGGCACGCCAAGGGTAGATCCCCCTGCAGACTTTGTTGGAGCGTGTTCAGGCCGGATGCACACTCGTTTTCTAGTCACTGCAAGGGCATGCTCCCACAGGGCCCCCGAGGACTCTCACTAAAGTCAAAAGTAAAGTGCGTTCTGTTGCGTTGGAAGAACCACTCTAATCAAAACAAACCCTGAGAGTCAGGTTCGCTGGACTTGCCATCGCAACTTGCACAGCCATACTGGTACCAGGAGGAAGGCCAAGTCCAGGAGATGTCATGCCCAGGAGTAGTACCGTTACTCTCACATACTGCACAATGTCATGTACCATGACGCTTGCCCACCCAACAAACACAAGCACAGTTTTAGATTATAAGATGGTTTTTCCAAAAAACGGTATAGATTAATTCTCCCACTGAGAAAGCACTAACAGGAGAAACTGTGCCGCTCAGAGTTTGTACACGACTGGTGTATCGCAATCAGCTCTGTGTGAGACAGGATGATAGGCTTTGACAAGCAGTATGATAATAAAATCTGAATTGATGAACTGTGGCCTAGATAGATATTGCACAAAACTGTATAAAAATACTTGGTACTACCCAGTGTTTTGGAGTTTGAGATATTGCAGGTTAATAACGGGCGGCTCTCATAGGCCATGGCAATGGGTTATCAAGATGTTCTAAGTTGCTCACAATGCGCACACTTTCACCAGGAAAGGGGCATGGTAAGAACCACTAAGGGAGGGGGGGGGGCTGTTTGGCATAAAAACTGCACACCTATGGCTAAACTAAGCACAGCATGCAATCAAGTTAGCAGAAAGCAGGCACCAGGCCTGCATGCTCTAAAACGCAACAAAAACACAACAAAAAACACCTAGCCGCTACGTCCACCAGTGGACTGCAGCTCAAGTTCAGAGTGGAGGTAGATACCCCGCTACTTGTAGGTCACGTCAATATGGTACAAGCATCTCCACGAAGCTACATGCTAAAACCCAAACCAACCGCCTCATGTGTTTGAACAGCAGTGCGTGGCGTAAATCACGCAGTGAAAAGGTTGCATCCACTGTTGATGTGTTCCATCACCGTCTGCTTCAGCGTGTACACTTGACTGCGTAGTCTGACAATTTCCGACGTGAGGCTACCGTTCTCAGCTTTCAGTGTTTTCACCTTGCCGTCCAGGTCCTGTTCTCGCTCGATCTTGCGCTTGCGACACTTCATCGCAGCCACACGGTTGCGCTCCTTCTTTCGGAGACGCTTGAGCTCTTCTTGAGCCTTCGGGTCCAGACTGCTCAACGATACACCAGCCAGCGAACTGGATTTCTCTGCCGTCGAACCGCCAGTGGTGGAGGCGGTAGTGGACGCTGGAGAATCAGGGGAGAACTCGGAGCCAGCATCAGACATAGCCGACCTAGGACTGTTGGTAATGTCAGAAAAGCTTGGCTCGGCTACTGTTGCGGCAGTCGAAGTGGCCGACAAACTTGCTTGATTTTTCTCCTGCATATCACTGAGAGCACGAACAAGCCCATCTACAGCAGCATTCTGCTCTTGTTGGACTTGCGACTGTTGTGCAAGAGAAGCCTGGTTGTTCCCTCTCGAGAAGTTGAGAATGGCTAATTCCAATTCGGGCGTTGTTGCAGCCAATAAATTATCGAACTGCGTTTGGGCCTGTGTTGATGTGTTCATGGTGGGCATCACAAACCTGGCAATTGGAACAGCCTGACTCATCTGGTTGGCATTCGAACCGACCTGCATCATCATCATCTTACAAATGATACTGCCACTGAAACTTTGTCGAATAAATGCTGTACAAAGACGGTGAACCACCTCAAGTCAAAGCGTCGCTCAATCGAACTACTTGTACTCACTCCACAACCACGCTACGGGAGAATTTTTGGAAACTGCTGAGGTCAGCCACCAGCACCGTGCTTTTATACCCTGCACTCCGCATGACCTCATGAAAATGCCGGTGATTGGCTGCAACGGTTTTGATTCAAGCTTGCCATATCTTTTTTTGGCACATTACGTCCCTTCTCTCTCATGACATAACCACACGTGAAGTCACGAGAAATTTCTTTTGACCTTGACGACAGCATGTTGTCACGTGCATATCACAGAGGCAGGCTAGGATCACGCGGCACGCTCAACTCACGTCAAGACAAGTAAAGACTCCAGACGGTGCGACAAGAGTCAAGTACACGGACTGTCACTTGTCAGACTCGACTGGTCTTCGAACTGCACTTCGATTTGAAGTACGTTCGCAAACAGGCAAACTGTGCATTCTTGCATGGAAGACACGTTTTTAGCAGGAGCTGGATCGCATGGAGTAGATTGACTTGTCGAGTCTGTTTACCATCGTGGAAAGCGGGAAATGCCATGAGTTGGTACACGATACATTGGTGCAGTTCTGAGACGGAGACCCGGGTCACCAAGGCGGACAGGAGAGAATGGGAAAGACACGGTGACAGCTCTGCAGCTGAACAGTACAGGAAAGTGCTTGCTTGTTTCCCCAGACTAGCAGTGCAACACGGCATTTTCTGAAGGGAAGTGGAACAACCAGTTAGCCTCGCTGTCGCAGCAGTACTACTTGTGGGTGCTAGATGTACAATCAATTCATGTAAAAATAGTTAGTGTTGTCAATGTAATGTCCTACTCATACTGGTTTACGGTACAGCCTGGCCAGTGTAACTCAGTGCTGGTAAGAAACTGTATAGTACCACCACTGCTTCTACTGCGACTGCATCCCGGCAGGTGAGCATGTCGAGGTGAGAGCCTTTGGAAAGTGGATTTTGAATTGGCCAATTGAACAGAAGCAGCATTACGGACATTGGTCAATCAAAATAACACAAAGGTCAACAATGCTGGTATGGGGAGCACTGTAGAGTACGAGTACGCTGGCCAACCTCTCGCCCACCCACTGTTTTCTTGCACTGGTGCAGGCACAGCAGTCAACAATGACAATATCTAGGGTGCTAATGGGCACACACGGTATTCAGGATTCTGCCTAATGTTCCCACTTACTACCTCCTTATCTCTTGTGGTGTGGCTGCTAAAACGCCCTGCTCCACTTGGCGGGGGGATGGTTGAAATCTTTCAGTTGCTGGTGGTGGTGTGACTTGGTTTGGCGAAAGGAGGCCTGGTCATGTGACGACAATACTGTGTCCCATGACCAACTGTACCCCGTGGATTGCCCAGTAGTGGCATGCAGTGCATCACTATCACAGGGGATCGGCCGGGGACGTTTAGCTGTGTTGGCGGTATGCAGTGGGGGAGATGTCCTATCTACATGGTATGGGTGCTTTTAATTTATTTTTAGTGTTTTATCCCTGGAATCACAACATTCAGTGGCGATGAGGCAAGCAAGAAACCTGACGCACATTCAACACTTCTTTGGGTAGCCCTGTGGCACATAAACTAGCACCACAAGAAGGTGTTTGAAGGATTTAATTTTCTGTTGTGCTGTAAGACTCCTTGCATCAATGGGTGCAGATGCTGTCAGGTTCTTGTAATGGTACATGGTATTCATCGGCCTTATGTAGTGCAATTATTTTATGTAGCTGTTTTGAGTATTAGCCATTTAGTGTAAGGATTGCGCCAGTATTCCAGCGTCATGAATTAATGCCAGAATAAGCTACAAGGTAGACTGTGCTTTCCTGTGTCACTGTGGATGTAAAATTCTATAAACGTTTGCCACAGTGAGCTGCTCCCGCTGAATAGGTACCTGGGAGTCTGCCCTGGAGGACAGTTGCAGTTGTTTTTCACGAGCTACTCACCCTGGGCGAATCATATGTTAGACGCTATTCGCGCGCATCGGGGTATGAATAATTGTAGAAGTGAAGTCACCTTGGTTTGTTTGAGTTGTACGGATGGCAATGCGGGCTTGAGCTAGGCTATCCTATGAGATGGTACTGCTGATATACAATGTAACGTACATAGTTTTGTACTCGTGCTGGTCTTCAGGGGCGTAGGTTATGTTTACAGTTTGTACTCTGAAATGGTTGGTAATCATCTCCGGGCGTGATCCAAAGCCCTACTGGGGAGCGTTTGAATCAGTTGATTGAGACGCTGGCCACTATTGTACTAGACTCCTTGATGGCTGTCAATATGTCACTTTGATGTAAATGTACTGGTGCTTCTGTTGTCAGGGTTGTCACCACCAATCTGATAGGTGAACCGGTTGCTAATGTCAACAGGAAAGCACGTGGCTTTGGCAGATGGGGTGGATGACGTGCGTTGTAGCTGTCACATGCAGTGGCGATTCCTGGTCGTGTCCAGCACCTGTCACACATACTCCTCACGTGCAGGAACGCCTTGCACGTTGCTGTCATCTTGTCCTGCCTCTGATCTGGCCTGCACATTTCTTTTCTGGATTTGCCCGACTATGATTGTCAGCAACATTCTGTCTGCGCGCTCATGTATTGTGTTGCGTAGTCTGTGCTATCTCCGTTTTCCTGATCAAGTGGTGGATAGGTGCTAATGACGCAGTTTCAATGTTCTCTAGATCCCAAGGTAGATCTTTACACCGTTTCAATCGGTGTGCCTTGAATGAGGAGGGCGTATAGTGTACGTGCAGGTTCTGGGCAGGACTGTTGTTTCCTTTGCATCCAAGCCTGAATTTACAATGGTGTGTTGGCCAACTGATATGTCCTGAGGCTATAGTTGCAATGGTTGCTTTTTTTGCTTAGAAGGATTGGCAAGGTTCCAGTGAATGATCTCTTGCAGACAATTATTTGTTTGCAACTTTGTAGATTGCATATGCTTTGTAGTGATAGGGAAGAAGGTAGCAATGGTTCTTGTTCAGTCCCAGCAAAATGGTTCTGTACTGGTACTTGTCCGTGCATGGTTTGATGGTGGTTTTGCGTGGGGCCTGGTGCAGCATTCGTCTAGGTGTGTGCTTCTGGATCGGGACTCCAAACCTAGTGCTTGTCACCCTTGCTATTGCTGATGCACAATTGTGAACAGCATAATTATAATGACATGCACTGAATCTGCAGGTGGGTTCAATTCGAGCCTGCCTGCTACATGATCAGTCGTCTGCATACCTACGATGTTCAACACACCATTGTGCACTTTCCAGTCTTCAAAGCTATCTCAGTATCTGTCTCCTGCACGCATACATGTATCTGCGGCATGTGTGTATGTACATGTACATTGTGTACCTTAATGTACATGTAATAGCAAGAGTACATAACTACACAGTGTAGTTATGTACTCTTGGTAATAGTAAGTGAGTATGAGGCGAATAGGAAATGAGACCTGAGTAAAAGACCTTGGCTTCCTTGCCATAATCTATTACTCGGGCTTTCATTTTCTACTCCTACTCCTAGGCTACACTCGCCTACACCCGTCACTAAGAGTCCATGACCCTGGGGTGATGCACCCTTGCCGTCACTCATCTAGCATGCCACCATCAGCCAGGGAAGTCCAATCACGCTGTTCACATGGCCGATTATGACATCTGACGCATGCACACACATGGCTACGGTTACAGCCACGCATCGTATGTTCAAACTTGTTTTGGTGGCACCGGGGAATCGTGCCCGAAACAACTAATTACTTTCTGGGGGCGACTCCCTGGTTGCCAAGCGATGAAACCAGCGAAATTTAATCGACCGCAAATATAGCATGCGACTTTTCACCGAATTTGTTGCGCACATGTGCTCAAAAAACAGGGATACAAATGTTCGAATCCAGCTTGCATGCACACCACAATCAGCTGGAGTCCCCAACTACCAAATACTGTGGCTAATCAGTGCAAAATCACCTGAGTCTTGCATATACATGTAGAGCCAGACTGAATATAAATTATAAAACCTCATTTCTGACACGCGAAAATTGCGAGTACGTTGTACAGTACAAGTTTACGACAGCCAGGGAGTCGCACATGCACAATTATATCATTTTATGGGCCCAACAAGTACATGCACTGGGCCAGGGGCAGCTCGCTAACATTTGAGAGAGGCTATGCATCCATGTTCTTGAAAAGGCACTGCAGTACTATTCATGGTATACTCCTGTTATATTTTTCCAGAGTACAAGGAAGGTGTTGGATAAAGCTAAGAGTACATAACCCTGGACAATACTCCAGTGCAGGGTTGCACTCTTGGTAAAAGCACTGATCATTGATCAGCACTCGGTGTCCATGGCAGAAGTTTTAACAAGTGAGTCTCGGTATTTGAGACCCTATCTGAACTTTCTCCTCAAATCACTCCAACTGAGATTTCTTGACACAAAATGTCAAACACACCAGCATCACAGCTCACACTATTTCTGTCCCCGGGGAAAATTGCGATTCCGCGGCCGCGTTTTTTGCGATTTTTTAAAAGACCGCGTTTTCCGCGATTTTTGAACTTTTTTGTTGCACTACACGTACACACACAGTGCACTGTTTGGTCAGCAACGTCTCATCGTGGCGGCTTTTTACTCAAATATGACGAGTGCTTACACCAGAGACTTGTAACTGATTGATTTCACTACATACTCACTGAAAATTGCCGCACATCAATATTATTCACCGCATATTTACCGCAAATTCACCGCAAATTATGCCATATTATGCCGCGTTTTTTTGCGATTTTTTTCCGCAAATTTCCCCGGGGACAGCTATTTCCTGCCATGACAGTTCATACTAGCACTAGCAGCCTAGAAAAATAATTTCAAACATACAACAAAAAGTAAGGTTGTTATAAATAATCCAACAAAAGAAGAGATCAAAACAGAATAAGCAATGAAATAGAGAGCGAATTCGTCAAGAGTAGGAAGCAGAAGCCCCATTGTATAAGCAGAATGTGGAGCCCCAGCAGCTACCAAATGCAAATATTTTTATGCTTGGTTTCATGGAACATGTGCAATTTTCATCCATGCAGCGTAGAAATATGTTTCATGAGTTTGCAAGCCAGCTTCAAGACGTGTTGATAGCGATCGTTGTGGCGTGAGGGGCACACGAGTTTATGTTGTTGCAAAGAGCGTCAGAAGTCCCTTCAGGTATGATACAATCTCATTCCCACCCAGCTTGGACTCACCGTACACGCGGTCCACAAAGCTGATGGGCACTTCGCCCACACTGTAGCTGAGCTGCCGCGCACGTACGATCATCTCCATCTGGAAAACGTAGCCCTTGGACACGCAAACATCCATCAGCTTCCTCAATACATCCTTGCGGTAAAGGCGGAAGCTCCCTGTCAAGTCGGAGGCACCGGGCCGCAGCAGAATCTGGGCAACGTAATTGGCCCCTCTGCTGATCACCTTTCGCCGCAGATCCCAGCCATATACACCACCATCGCCGGCATAGCGCGTGCCTGACACGATATCGTAATCTCCCTCACGCTGTTTCTGGATAAACTCAGCAATGAACTTCGGATGATGGGACAAATCAGCGTCCATGAGGAGAATGAAATTGCCAGTGGAGTGCTTCATGCCGTGGATGTACGCTGTGCCGAGACCAAGCTTCGCCTCACGGGGCCGCAGCACTATCCTATCCTTGCCGTATACCTCCTGCAGCTGCTTGGCCACGTCCAGCGTTCCATCGGGGCTGTTGTCATCAATGACAATGACTTCGAAGTTGATTTTGTCTTGCTCAAAATATTTCACAAGCAGCCAAATAATTAGAGGTAAATTCTCCCGTTCATTGTACGTCGGCAAAAGAACCGAGTATTTATCCTCTTGGGAAGACATCCTCTAGAGCAATATCTGAGAAGAGTCTTGCGACCGGGATCAGCCGTATCCTTGGCCGAAAGGAAAGGGAACAAAAACAATTATTTCAAGTTCGGACAATACAACGATGAATATCCAAGTACGAATAATGGAAACAAAAGAGACATCACAATTTTGGTGACCAATGGCAACCACGATCGAGATCACGTGAACGTACTTGCCATGCGGCGGCCACGTGCCCATCTCGCAAAAAGCTGGATATGGATATCGATTGCATGAAAATGCACCCCCAACGCAACGCCACATGCACAACAATTATTTGAAAAGTGTTGTGTCATTTCATCGAATGATCACAGCTCGCCCGACAATTATTTCAATGTCACACTGTTGTTCAGAGGTAATTGGGACACTCTCATCTTGGAAATTCTTTCTGCTGGAATATGTTCACCTCTGGTTCGTTGGTGCTTCTCCAGATGTAAACTGATCAGGTTAGAAAGATGTAAGTTCCATTTTCACTCAGTTTTCATTGAATGCCAGCACAGCAATTTTGAGACTGCCAACTGTACGCCAAGTTGGTTAATAATTCAACAGTTTCATTTTCACGGACATTACACATATCATTGGAAGGGTCATTTGATAATTTTAATTTTATTGACTTGTTTCTCCAGAATATATGTGTGTGTGTGTGTGTGTGTGTGTGTGTGTGTGTGTGTGTGTGTGTGTGTGTGTGTGTATGTGTGTACGTGTGTGTGTTTTTGTGCATGCATTCGTGAGCCCGCATACGCACATGTGTGTGTGTGTACGGCAGAGAAAAAGTGCCCGCTATTAAAAAGCGCGCAGCTCCCTTATCAGTGCTGCCCGGTGGAGTTTCAAGTTGTCGGCAATGCGCCATACGCTCTGACACTTTTGTACAGATGTTGGAAATGGGGAAACTGTGCGTGCAAGGAGCAGAGTATCATAACAATGATATCAAATTGAAATTCTGTAAGGATAGGTGTGCATGCGGGAGTTGCACACTCTGGGGTTATGTACTCTTGGCGAAGCCCAGAGTGATAACGTTACAATGCAGTTGAGCTGAGCAGCTGCAGCATCGTAGATGAAACCAATGGTACAAATGGAGTTTGCTGTGCTCTTTTTTGCATTCGATCACAGCTCGCCGCTAACTGGCCTGATCAGGAATGAGACTGGGACAAGTCTATCAGGTAGGCCGGCTTTGCCGCCATGCCTGGGTGCGCTCACTCTCCACGTCGCCATGCCGCAGCCAGATGGACAACACCAGGGAGTTCCCCAAGGACTTCCCGCCGCAGTTCGACGCCAAGCTGATAGAGCGGTGGTACTCGAAGTGGGAGGCGGACGGCGCATTCAAAGGCGGCGGCCCACGCAGGGGCGGCAAGAAGTACAACATGCTACTGCCTCCGCCCAACGTCACTGGCAAGTTGCACATCGGACACGCTCTGACTGTTGCGCAGGAGGACGCCCTGTGTCGATGGCACCGGCTGTGTGGCGATGACGTACAGTATGTTCCTGGCACCGATCACGCAGGCATAGCCACACAGTCGCTGGTTGAGCGCCTGCTGAAAGATAAGGGCATGGACGTTGCCGGCATGGTAAGGCCTGTTGTTGATTGTGCAACTGTAATAAATGACACCAGCCTCATGAATACGTGTACGTGTATGGCTTAGCCTCATGAATACGTGTACGTGTATGGCTTAGCCTCATGAATACGTGTACGTGTGTTAACCTAGTCTCACGAATATAGCCCGACTGCATGAATGTGATACTAGCTGCGGGCCTGTGTAGTGCTGTAGCACAAAAAGGCACACAATGAAAACCTTGGCAAATTAATTCCGTTGTGACTCAGAGTTTCATGGCTGAACCAATCATCAGACAACGATAATGGAATAGAAGGCAGCGCTGGTATATCTAAGTGGAGAGAGGTGTGATAATACGATAGCGAGAGGAGTAATCCTCTGTGTAGTGCTGTAGCAGTATGATTCAAGTACCGGTATGGGCTGCACTAGGCTACGCTGTAAACACGGGTGTGCTTTCTCCATGCGACCGGATTTCACTTTGCAACACTGTTTTTCAGCACTTCATGGTGCCCGCTGTGTGTCTACAACTATTACAATATTGGCGTGCGAGTCTTACCAGTTCAATTGATTACTTTGATACATACATGTACTACCAAGAGTCCGTAACCCCCCCAGAGTACGCAACTTCACTGATCAGATCTGGGACGGCGAAATCCGTGTTGCACGTCATAGTGTAACATCATGAGTAGGGGAAGTGTGTCCGAGGTGGACCGTGTCGGCGGAATGACGCAAGTCCGACCCAAAACATGATGTACATCACGGATTACGCCGTCCCACAACCCCACCCCAGTTGCTCACTCTAGGGGATTAAGGACTCTTAGTACTATCGTGGCTATTCCCCTACTGTCAATGGGATCTGCTCTTGTGCTTGTCCGTGTACTGGGGTGAGGGCCCTGGCGATGACCCAGCTGAGTAGGTTCTGCCAGGTACAGAGGACCCCGTCGATTGATGTTCTAGACTAGAAGCATCCCGGGTTGTACATAATCATTTCTTTGCCGTTTGCATCTCCACAGTCCGCTCTATCTTTCCATTGGTCTGCCTATCCATCCATCCGCCTGTCCATCCATGCATCCATCCATTCATTCATACATACATACATACATACATACATACATACATACATACATACATACATACATACATACATACATACATACATACATCCATGCATGCATCCATCTACCCATCCATCAATCTACCTATTCATGTAGTGTACAACTACATGACTCATGTTTAGTACGTTCTCTGACACCTTCTTGGTGTAACTTTGTTACTTATTTTCCGTAGTATAAGCCGCACTTTGAACACTCAAAATTCACCCAAACAAAGGGGATGCGGCTTATACTCCGATGATCAAATTAACGGTGAGAAATAGGACAGATGTCTGTATTTCGTGGCAAAAAGGGGGGGGGGGTGTAGATTATACTCCAGTTCGTCTTATATTCCGGAAAATACGGTACATGTTTGCTGGCAAATCTCTGGGGTTATGCAGGAAAAATCAGGTGTAAAGCAGTATTTGTCCATCTGTCTGTCCGGTTGTCTGTCCGTCTGTCGATGACCTTTTGTCTTTGCATTGTGCCGTTGTTTGCACAATTGACCAGAGCCGCGAGGAGCGTCTCAAGCACGTTATGAAGTGGAAGGAGGAACACGGCGATCACATTGTCAACCAGTTGAGAAAGCTGGGTGTCAGCGTAGACTGGTAAGATCATGTTCATGCTAGCCTTTGCTTGTCCCTGGTGCAGTGATTACACCTGGTTTGTCCTCACAGACACGTATGACTAGCGTGTGATGTTTGCACTATGGTTGAGATAGAGTCTAAGGTTGTGGAATATGTAGCAACTCTGAGAAGTACCGAGCAGCCCTCTTTGTTTTTTCAGCACTTTTGCTCGAAACTATACATTTGATGTTCCTATCTTTGACAGGAGTCAGGAGTACTTCACGCTTGACGAGCCACGCGCTGAGTCTGTCAAGCACGCCTTTATCCAGCTTTTCAACGTAGGTGAAAATAAGGATGAATTGATGAATTTGAGGTGATGTTTGTGTGTGTGTGTGTGTGTGTGTGTGTGTGTGTGTGTGTGTGTTGGCTGATTATGATTATGGTCGCACACGTCTTTCTTCTCTTTCTCATTCTCCTAGCTCTTCTTTCATTCTCCTGGGTGGTTACCAACAGCCAGTGTATGTCGGAGTATGTGGTGTGGCGCGTGTGTGTAAAAAAATGAAAAATGAAAAATAGGGATTCACTGGCCAGAAAAAGCCACTTCAATCAGCTGTGTGATGAATACCAGGCTAAAAATTAGTGGCGGTCAATTCATCAGCCTTGCAAGCTGTTGAATGGTGTAATCCCAGCACAAGTTGCTATGTCTAACATAGCTGTTCGCTATCATCGCTTCCGCGATGGGCATGTCTGAGGTCTGAGGTGCGTGTGTGTGTGTGTGTGTGTGTGTGTGTTGGCTGTGTCCGTTGCACCCCAAGCTGCAATATGTCAGTCATATCTGTAGCGCTAGCTATCAGCCTGTCTCCCCTTGCGCTGGACATGCAACACTTGATCATGTCACTGTTTTCTGACATTGGCATATTCCACACTTACATGTAGAGCCCAACATATTGGGGAGTGATCAGGGAAGGGAAAGTCATTTGCCTCTTTTAGCTTAGGAGAAGTGGAACTGCTTGATGTGCATACTAGACTTTAGTCATGGTAGGTCTCCTAAGATTTGCCAGGTCCCAACTTTCATGTAGAGGGTAGGTTGCTATAGCTTGTGATTTTCCTGGCCTCTCCCTACAAGGATCTCGAAAGTTGCTACGACTATTTCTGACTTGCATGGTTTGGAAATCTGTTCAGAAGATACATGTGCAGGTAATACCTTTTTATTTTTTTAGAAAACTTGAATGATGCTGTTTGACTGCTTCACCATACTTGAAGTAGCTTAGTGCTTGTGGCACTATGATGTTCAAGTCCTGATGATGGCAGGCACATTCTTTCTAGACTTCTCTAATTCTCACTATCTCTCCGTCCAACTTCTGAACTTCCCATGCAATGTTCTGCTTCTTTGTCCAGAGGGGGCTCATTTATCGGCGAGTCCGTTTTGCCAACTGGTGCTGCTCTTTGAAGACGGTCATCTCCGATATCGAGGTGAGCTGATATTGGAGTGCTGGTAGTGGTACTGTGGAATACCTGTATATACATGTAGGCGTGGAGGTAGAACTGCTTCTACTTCAAAGCGGCACACCAGAAGACAGCAGAAGCCCTTTGTGAAGGTACCAAACTCAATTGGAGACTTCCCTTTTTTCAATGTCAATTTGAAGGAACTTCTACTCAAGAGCGGCTTCTATTTCAATACCTTCGTCTGTGTTTCCGTCACTATGCCATCATTTGAGTGAGTCGTTTTTCCTAATGGTCTTTGCTATGGAAGAGGGGCTTCGAGTCGATCAAGTAGGCCATAGAATTGCATGTGCACAGTGCATGTACGTGTACTATGTAATTTGACTGACCCTTTTTTAAAACCATATTCTTACATTGTACGTGCCTGCTCATCTTTCCAACATGCCTTATAATGCCTGTAACATGGCATGTCCCCATACAGGTTGAGGAAGAACACTACGATGAGCCGACGAGGATTAGCGTGGCGGGCTACGACGGCCAAGTTGAGGTAGGACATCAGCACGTGCCTGTGTGATCTGTATCGTGCCGCTTTTTTCAAGTTTTGCTCCATCACTATGTGTACGATATACCGTACAGGCTAGTTGTACTTTGTAGATGATGGTCTCTCTTTTTTTCTCCCTTTCTCTCTCTCTTTTCTCTCTCTCTCTCTCTCTCTCTCTCTCACACTTTCGTTACCTCTCGTTTTCTCTCTCTCACATGTGTGTGTGTGTGGGCTGTAGGTTGGTCTTATGCATCACGTTGCCTACCCACTGGAGGATGGCGGTGAGGTGGTGGTTGCCACTACCAGACCGGAGACCATACCGGCCGATGCAGCACTGGCCGTTCATCCCGATGACCTGAGATACACGTAAGTATTGTAGTCAGATGGCACAATCACTTATGCACACACGCATGCAGACACAAGATTTAGTGGTTGATTCCGAGATTCCAAACCTTCACCAAAGTTTGCCTCGGGAGTGGTGATGAAAGTTTGGATGGCCACATAGTCTTGACAAGTAGATTTTGCTCCGTATCGCATACTTATGCATTGTAGTTGTCATGGTAGCCACGCTTCATGGACACTGTAACACTATTTTGTGTGCTTTCCCGCAGGCATCTTCATGGGAAACGTGCCATGAATCCGGTCACCAAGAAGCACATCCCCATTATCTGCGATGAGCAGCTTGTCGATATGGAGAAAGGTAAAGGGCCCTTTAAAAGGGGACAACTATTGCTTTGTTCTGATGTCCCTTCAGCAGGACAAGGAACTACTGTTGCGGACATTGAAGTCCGTTGAAAAGACCAGCGGCCACGGGGCGCTGGCATTGCAGCCGCGAGCACGGCTGGTCCAGTCTCAGGGGTGTACGTGTGATGTACAGTGCGTGTACGCGCTAAAAGCAGTAAGGGCGTCGGCCCCGGTTATCCCATCGGATTTCAATTTCCGCGGCAGTAGAACATTGTCACGTTGTTCTCAACCTGCCCGTAGTAGTGTGTATGTGGTAGTTTTGTGGGGGGTATTTGACTATTTGGGGTCATTTGTTTCCCCCTGGATTTGCTGAAAATGTCTCACCAGCAGTGTAGCTATATTCCTGTTGTTGGTTTCGTATCCGTGCATGTGTTCAGGAATACAGTGAAAGTGCAGCTTAAAAAAACCCTGTGAACCATCTTGGATATTGCACCAAGGCACGTACAAAATGCTATGTGTTCTGCACCCTTCAAGTGTGCTCTCAGCCAATTGACTGCAGATGCACAGTTCTTTGGGTATGACGTGCCCCTTTCGAGGTACGCTGTACTGGAGTTTCTCGCACATGTGTGTGTGTGTGTGTGTGTGTGTGTGTGTGTGTGTGTGTGTATGTGTGTACGTGTGTGTGTGTATGTGTATGTGTTTGTGTGTGTGTGTGTGTGTGTGTGTGCAGGCACTGGTATTGTGAAGGTGACACCATGCCATGACCAACGCGACTATGAGTGTGGCTTGCGACATGACTTGCCACAGGAGATGCTGTTCGATGAAGATGGTTGCATAGTAAGAGCTAAGAAGTGCTAAAAAAGATCGAGTCCTGCAGACAATGGCTACTGTTTCCCCTTATATCTTAGAGTACATACCTTTAAAACTTTTAAAAGAGGCTGAGAAAACCCGCTTACTGTGGACTTGCGGATGTTTTTTTGCTGAGCTGTATGTGTGTATGTGCATGAGCACTGTGTGTGTGTGTGTGTGTGTGTGTGTGTGTGTGTGTGTGTTTGCATGCATCCAGGCCCTGTCTGACGGTGAGCGTGTTCATCGCTTCGCCGCACGCAGGCTGATACTGGAGAGCCTGCGACAGACCGGTCTCTACCGGCATGCCGTCAAGCACCCAATGCTCGTCCAACGGTAAGAATTGCGTGAATTTAACCTGGTGGCAATGCTGCTGTGGCTACTCTACTCCAGTGCACCATTTTGACATTCTGTGTTGTTGTATGTGTGAAGTGTACCATACTGCAAACTGTCACTGGTGGGTTTTTACTTTTTAGAGCTGGGAACATCACACATTGCGTTGCTGGTCGATCATTCATGGCACATGCTGTCAGCAATCACGATATTAGAACTGTAGCTCTTTGTGTGCTGTTTTGTTTCTGTTCTAGATGCTCTCGTTCTGGTGATATCATTGAGCCGATCCTCTATCCACAATGGTTTCTGCGTATGGGTGACCTGTGTAAGCATGCTGTTAAGGCTGTGGACAGTGGCGAGCTGAAAATCACGCCGACTAGCGAGAATGACGTCTGGAAGAGGTGAGCTAACGTTAGAATAATGCTGTGTACACTCGCGCGCTCGCGCGCGCGCGTGTGTGTGTGTGTGTGTGTGTGCATGTGCGTGCAAGCTCGTTGCGTGATGTCCATCGCCGTGTGCAGCATGCACCTCACCCGCAGAGTTTGTCGTGAAATCACCTCACATTATGCCGTGTATGTATATGCACTTTCTGTTGTGATAGTTCCGCTTCTACCATAGCGTCTCTGTGCAATGGAGCCAGATTGCTTTTGTCCACCTGCCATCTCTCTCTCTCTCTCTCTCTCTCTCTCTCTCTCTCTCTCTCTCTCTCTCTCTCTCTCTCTCTCTCTCTCTCTCTCTCTCTCTCTCTCTCTCTCTCTCTCGCTCTCTTTCTCTTTCTCGTTCTCTAGTACTTTAGTACCGGTGTGGCAATATGCTGCACGATAACATCCCTCCTGACAATGTAAATACTTTATTGTGATGCTCTGTTCAGGTGGCTATCCAAGGAGCAGGACTGGTGCTTGTCTCGTCAGCTCTACTGGGGTCATCGGATCCCAGCCTGGAGAGTGGTGGACGGGCTGCCTAATCAGAAAAACAATGTAAGTTGTGATACATGTCCCAGAGGCACCTGTCAGTCTTTTCGTGTTCGTGTTCGTGTTCAGTACTTAAAAGTGTTTGGTGCACTGTTTGTTGTTGTCTTTGTCTTTGTGAATTGGGATTCAAAACCTTTTACAAATATTAATTTTACTCTGGCATACAAACTACACTTTCCCCATCTTCACTTGGTGCAGGTCCGAACCAGACTAGGTGTCCCCTCTGTATTTGAGTGGTCTTCTTTGTGAAGTTCTTTCTCACATCAGCCTATTGTCAAGGTCTCTGTCGTTGTTTCCTGCCAGTGTCTGTGCTAAGTTCATTAAGTTCTTGGTGTTGTGTGGGCATTGTATGTGTGTAGGTAGAGGAACAGAGCATTGATGATGAGGTATGGGTCGCCAGTGACAGCGAAGCGGAGGCCAAACAGATGGCCATTGCATCGCATGGTTGTGATCCGGAGAAGGTAATAAGAGCTATGCATAATCTTCCAGGGGTTTGATTTAGCGGGACAGGTCCACTTCAGCCATATGCAGTATGATAGCAGCTCTGCATAGAAAGATTATGAACTGTGCACAGTCATACTAATGCGTGCACTATAGAGCTGGCTGTACCTGCCAAAATTAATATGGAACAAGTTGCACTGCAAAAATGCTGCAGCCATGTTTTATGCCTAGGTGCCATTTTATGTGGATTGTTGTCCAGTATAATTATTTATTGCACACATGTGCCTCTTCCGAGTTCACTTTGCTTTTTGTTTTCACCTGCCAAACCATACCAATGTTTCGTACAAACGGTAACCATGGTAATTACTACTTCTGTAGTGCTCATGATTGTTTCTATTTGAGCGTCGGAACTGTGCCTTTTGGAGATGCCGTGTAGGGTTTCTGTTTTTCAATGAAGTCCATGCACATGTAGATGCGGTCAAGGACTGGCTCAGCTCAAGGGATTCACTGGCCAGAAAAAGCCACTTCATAGCTGTGTGGTGTAGACCAGGCTGAATAGTGGCGGTCAATTCTTCAGCCTTGCAAGCTGTTGAATGGTGCAATCCCAGCACAAGCTGCTATGGCTTCTGCTGTAGCATCGCTATCATCGCCTCCGGCGATGGGCGTCAAATGGTCAAATGGTGTGTGTGTGTGTGTGTGTGTGTGTGTGTGCGCACACGCATGTGTGTATGTGTTTGCGTGCGTGCATTCATGCGTGTGCGTGTGTGTGTATGTGTCCGTTATGTCTGATGTAGGTGTCGGTTGTTCAAGAGACTGATGTACTGGACACGTGGTTCTCATCAGCATTGCTCCCGTTATCGACCGCCGGTTGGCCGTCATCAGAGATTACCGACTTCTACCCGCTTTCTGGTAAGCACCAGTGACCACGTGTTCCGTTTCTGCTGCGCTTGAGAACACAAACAGTACTGTGCAGTGCAAACACATACTTCCCTCTCCTACCTAGGTATTTATTTAAAGTTATTCTCGTAGTGTTCATGTTGTCAATATGTGACTGTGTTGCTATAGGACTGGATTTGAAGTGGAAACCATGGTATCTTTCTGTCCTTTTTATCGCACGCGCGTGTGTTCATGTGTATGTGTGCGTGTGTCTGTGCATGTGTGTGTGTGCGTGTGTGCATGTGCGTGTGTTTGTGTGTTTCTATGCACTAGTGATGGAGACTGGCAATGATATCCTGTTCTTCTGGGTGGCACGCATGTACATGCTATGCACAACACTGCATCCGCAAGGCCAGTCACCATTCTCACACATTCTCCTTCACCCGCTCGTCAAGGATGCATCGGTGAGCCACTCTCTGTGTTCATCTCTTTCCTCCTTTCTATGGCACAAGTTCTAATAACTGTATGCTGGGTATCACACAAGACCATGATGAGTGATGTGTGTTTGCGCGCGCGCGTGTGTGTGTGTGTGTGTGTGTGTGTGTGTGTGTGTGTGTGTGTGTGTGTGTGTGTGCGTGTGCATGCGCGCGTGTGTGCGTGTATGTGTGTGTGCGTGCGCGCGTGCGTGCGCGCGTGCGTGCGTGTGTGTGTGTGTGTGTGTGTGTGTGTGTGTGTGTGTGTCATGGTTCACTATTTCTAATATAGGTAGAGATGTGTTATAGCGTTGGTGTTTGAAGAAGTGTGATTTGATCACTATAGACGATTATCACTACATGCGATTATCACTACATGCGATTGAACAGGATAGTACTTCAAAGTATGTAAGTGATAACTTTAGGACTTAGTCATGATGACATACAAGAACAGACGTGCATCATACTGTCATGTAAATACCATACCGAGACATATAAAGTACAAAATAACAACAACCTGCGTCTACTCCATGACCACACTGCTGGTAGTACACATCATTTACACAATCTCAGTTTTCCGAAGCTTCCTATAGGTACCATCAATTTCTATAAACGATCCATATTGTATGTAATTCAGTGGTTTTGAAGTGAGAATTTGATCACAATAGGCGATATATTGGTATAACCGGTTTAGTGTGGAAAAGATACTTTTGATTTTGAATTTTGAAGGTGATAACATTATACCCGGTCTATTACTATAACCGCCAACCCTATAGTCGATCTCTACCTGTACCTTTCTCAGCACACTGATAAAAAAATAAATAAATAAAATTTCACGGTTCGCGTGAGACTCGGCCAAAGGCCCAGTTTTCCGCATCCGCAGGAACGCCACCACCCTCTTGGATCAAGGCGCAGATGCAGCTCCTAAGCACACTGATAGAGACCATAATTATTTGTTTGAATTTAGTTCAGAATCATAATCAGTCACCACCACTACACAAAGGTCGTTCAGAATCACTCTTTCAAACAGAGTACATGACTTTGTACATATCAGAGAGTAGTAAATACATTGGCATTTTAGTACTCTCTGATACGTACTTGTACTGTCCTGGTTATTTCCTGGAGGATCAGTCATGCACGCATTTACGTTGCTTGCATGTGTGCGTGCGCGTGTCTGCGTGCGCGTGTCTGCGTGCGTATGGGTGCGTGCGTGCGTGTGCATGTGTTTTGGTCTACCCAACTGGTTTTTCTGCAGGGTGCAAAAATGTCCAAGAGTAAAGGCAATGTAGTGGATCCACTGGACATAATGGTGAGGAGAACTAACACACAACACTTACTTTTTATCAGTGAATTTTGTTTAGGTGATGCTGACTTTGCCTGATAACTCATCGTATTGACAGTGGTGTAGGTCTGCGGCTAGGGAGCAAGTGTGGGTGGGACGTGTTTTGCCGCCATACCTGTCTTGTATAAAGCAGCTACAGCGGAGTATACTTTCATTCTGCGAGTCCATACAGTCTAGCTGGAGACGTCCAAGACTGCCGCATGGATCCAGTAGGATGAAGCGTATTGTGTTGTTAAGGATGATATGTTATCCAGCTAAGACACATCCACGATATCAATTGATCCCCCGTATGAGTTAGTGTACCAACCCGTCATGCCATGGTTGCCCACCATGCATCAATGGTAGAACCTGCTGCCAGGTGGTGGTGCAGGTGGTGATGCAGGTGGTGATGGTGGAAAGGAAGTGTTATGTTTCATATCTTCAAGATTTCAACTTTTCAATTCTTGACTTGCAGAACTCCGAGGTGTTGAGCACTGTCAGCACACTGGGTACATCCTCCGGTCAACCATTGACTTGTGATGTTATTTATCATCACACAGCGCCGTCTAACCACATCTACCGTGCCAGATGGACATTTTCAGTTATCTCTGACTTTGTAGTATTGTCACTGCCGACTGGCTTGTTCATGCGTGCTGCGCATGGTAGTGTTTTGGCGGGAAAGCACAGCGTAGTGCTGGTGTACAATCTGGTGCTGTGTGCTATTTTCTTTTTTGCTGCAGAACGGTGCCAGTTATGAGAAGCTGCTGGGCAGCAGAGCTGGCTCCACGCGACAAGAGGATAAGCTGAAGGCATTGCATCCCGATGCGTTTCCGGCGTGTGGTGCTGACTCGCTGCGCTTCTACCTCAACAAGAGCACGGTAAATGGCTAAATGCATGTCGTGTTGTTGTGTCGGTGTAGAAGTGCAGGGAGCAACGTTGTCCAGCTTTACCTTGTATTTCAGATATGTTCCACGTCATTGAGCCTGAGCTTCATGAGCCTTGTAGCCTAGACCGTTCTTATTTTTCATGTACTACAATACAATCTATGCAGGTAGGATCTCCGGTGCTTTGACCCGGGACCCAGTTTGGCTAAGCCAGTCTGTTTGCCATGTACTCTTAGGCCATGGTAACAATTATCTTTGAATCTCAAGTACGCGCGCACCGATTTTTGGCGGCGCACCGACGATTTTTTAAATTTCTATACATGCATATGCGCGCATGAAAACAGTCTATGCGAAATGCATGAATCCGGGAGTAGTAAAATACCGGTATTTTTCTACTCCCTGGCCTGAATAGTAAAATACAGGTCGTCCCCCGTTAATACGAGTCCGGTTAGTACATAATTATAGGTTAGTGCATGGCAGGGAGGGCCTTATGGCTTGTTAGTGCCCGACAGGTTAGCCTGAGGGCCGTAGGCCCGAGGGCTAACCTGAAGGGCACAAACAAGCCATAAGACCCTCCCTGCCATACACTAACTATTTTAGAACGAGGTTACATGCATTATCTCACTTCCAATATGCTTGTGTACCACTCTATTGGGTAGTTTTGTGGTTTGTGTGCAGAGAGACTTGGTGTGGTATGAAAGAATATTTTCTTCTGGTAAGTTATGGTAACTCAGCACCACTTAGGACTACTAAAAGTAGAATGGAAGCAAATGAAATGCTGGGCTCTTATTGCGAGCTTCATTCTTATTCATATACATGTACATGCATGTAGCTTGTGGAGCTAACAGTTATTTAGGGGCTTTGAGAGCCCCTTGTCGATAACTCTAATGACTTTGATCCTCGCTTTTTATAGGTTACCGCAAGCTGTTGACAAAGAAAATTCGTACAGATGAAAGAATACTGGAGGCAAAAACCGTACACACTTCTGAATTGCGTAGCTTTTAGTAGTACACCGTACACGTTATGCAGAGTTCATTATCTGCACCGTACTATTATGCATACAGGGAGTTGTACGCACCAGTTTAGAGTATATTCAGCGGGCTTTAAACTAATCCAAGGCCCTCGACGCGTCATCAAGAGTAGTAAAATAACGATTGAGCGGGCTTTAAACTCTGATAAGGCCCTTGGCGGGAATGTCGCTGATTGGTCGTTTCCTGGACAACGAGACAGACCTCGTTCTAAACCCCGTTAGTACATAAGAAATCTCAAGTCCCGGACGAAACGTGGTCACTTCCATACAAATTTTGTCGGTTAGTACATAATTCGTTAGTACATAAACCCCGTTAGTACATAACATTTCTCCGTACCCGCATGCCACCTACCTCAATAGTACATAATTTGTTGTTCTTTTGGCCTTCCAGTGGAGGCACATCGTGTTCTAGTTTCTACTTGTGGACGCAATTAGCTCAGAAATCAGAGCGCACATCAAAAACCGACAAAGCTCTGTTGTTTTTTCGAGTGACTACAGGCGCCGCTGGGCATGTATCATGTCAACTGTAAAATCTTCGCTGACTGTGACCGTTATAACATAATTTTTATGTTATATCGAGGGAATCAAGAATATCTCGCTCCCTAGTCATGGCAGCAAGAAATACTCAGAAAAGTTGAAAAAAGTGAAAAATTCTGGTATACAAGCAAGTTATGTACACTGTCGTTTAGTACATAAACCCCGTTAATACATAACATTTGTCAAGTCCCAGAGATTATGTATTAACGAGGGACGACCTGTAATTACATGAACCTGTGACGTACATATGTGTGACCCTATCTTTGGAAATAAAACAATTGTGGGAAATAAAATAAAAAATCGCTCGCTCGCACTGATTTTCACAGGCTCATGACCTGAGAATCAACTTTAATTTTTACCATGGCCTTAAAGAAAAAGAAAGAGAGAAGGAAACGCGCAACGAGTTTTCGCTTTGTTTACGTACATGTCCGAGATCTCGCATAGCCCGCCCCTTGGCCAACCCGGGCTGGAAATGCACATAATAAAATGTAATCACCTCCTAAGGTTAGTATATTGTACTGTCGTGGACATGGAAATCCGGTCGCAAGTCTAGCGGCCCCAGGGCGCTGGCCATGCAGCCGTGAAGAAGCGGTACACACATGCATTTATGCGCTGCAGCACGCTGGTATGGTCGCATCGGATCAACATGTGCACTGCACGCAGCGTTCCGTAGATCTACGCGATGAGGGCGCCGGCCCGGTCAATCGACTGGATTTCCATGTCCGCTACAGTACATATGCGAATGTGTGTGTGTGTGTGTGTGTGTGTGTGTATGTGTGTGTATGTGTGTGTATGTGTGTGTATGTGTGTGTATGTGTGTGTGTGCGCGTGTGTGTATGTGTGTGTGTGTGTGTGTGTGTGTGTGTGTGTGTGTGTGTGTGTGTGTGTGTGTGTGTGTGTGTGTGTGTGTGTGTGTGTGTGTGTGTGTATGTGTATGTGTGTGTGTGTGTGTGTGTGTGTGTGTGTATGTGTGTGTGTGTGTGTGTGTGTGTATGTATGTATGTGTGCATGCCTGTGTGTTCATGCATGTATCTACTCCTGTTCATAGTCGGTAGTGGTGTCTAATGTCCTGGGAGACATCAACTTTGACCTCTAGTAAGTGCTACCATTGGACATGTACATGTTGCACGTTACTGTCAATGCCATCACGCCTACAACATGTAGTACTGTACACTGCACAAATTTGCAGGACCTCATCCAGGGGTACAGAATGGAGCACTTCTCGAGCCAACGTAATCAAGGAATGTCCCCTTGTGTGATAGGGAGCTGGTGTGTTACATTTCAGTAACCGCTTCTGGTGCATGGAATCTTTTAAACCTGATGCACTGGTAGTGTTAGCTGCATCTGTGCAGTGTGACAGAACCTTTTCCATGTGTGTGTCTCTAGCTATGCAGCCATGTTAGTTTTTGTTTCTCTGTTGATTGATGCATTTCCTGTGTTTAGTGAAGTTATTCTGGCACGGAACTTTGCCAAAAAGATGTGGAATGGTGTTCGCTTTGCCTACATGATCTGGCCACCAGGATTTGAAGCCTCGGTAAGTGCAGGCTGCCGACATCTGTAGGTGTTTCTCTTGAATATGTTCGTAAGGCATTAGCTAGTGATGGAAACAGAGAAGTGAAGGAAGAAAAACAAAAAGTATACTGGTGCAGTCAACTTCGCTAATAACGACTGCGGATATAACGACATTCGCGAAGAACGACAGAATTTCCATGCCCAGAGCAAAGTCCCATCTAACTGTATACACATCATGAGACTTCGGGTATAAGGACTCTATTCTGATGCCCCGCCGAGTGTCGTTATACGCAAAGTTGGCTGTGCTTACACAAGGCAGAACAACAGAGACCGATAACTTTCTCGTGACTCCGAGTTTCGTGTAATATAAAAAAAACACTCATACTAGCACTTATGGTCTGATGGTCCTCTCTTTTTTTAACTTTATCCTTGGCTCTCCATCCGAGTCTAGTATACTAGTACAGTGCTGTATCATCAACCAGCAAATTGCGCTCTCCAGCCGGCCGACCTCGACACGTTGCCACAGCACACCATCAGCAAAGCGACACATCCGTTGGTACTGAATTCCTTCATACAGCTGTTTCGAGTATAAATCTGATGATCTGTACGGGGCCGAATGCTTCTGCTTACCCTTTATTTAGTACTCTGCGTGCGTGCGTGTCGTCCTCGTGTGCAGCCACTGCGATCTGATGGCAAAGAACTTGGTTTGTTGGATCGCTGGGTGATGCACACCACTGCCAAGTTCGTAGCTGACTATGACCAGGCCATGCAAAGCCATAACCTTGTGAGTACCATTCATGGGTTTGTTTTGAGTGATTCATAGGTGAACGGTGGTTTGGCTGGTAGTGACTTACTTGTACTAGCACGGTATACTGATGAACCGAGTTGAGCTGCATATTCCAGAACATTAATGTTGACTTTGGTTGATTTACAGTATGTTTTGTTGCACTGGTTATCGTCTGGTCACATTATTGCAAGCTCTAGCTGATGCATCACTGGTAGTAGTAGTAGCAGCAGCAAGAGTAAATAATCTTGACCTCCCAAGCATGTGCAACTCTGCATAGGGGATCTCCAATTGCAAAAAAAACAAAAACACATATAACATGTCCTAAGTACGTTTCGTACTATGTACAACATAGGCCAGCGTGCGCACAGTCCGGACATCATGCCTTGATTGTGCTTATGACTAGGAGTAGGAGTAGATTTCTCTCACGGAGTGGTATTTTTACTACTCCGCTGCCCGCTAAAACAGGTTGGGAACGTACATCAGCTCTTCCTGGCGTGAAGAAAAGCTTTTCTCTATTGTGTCTTTTTCGGTTATGTGTACTCCCCCTGCTGTTGTGTTTCTTGGTAAATGTGTTGACGTACAGGCGGTTGCCGCCAATTTGGTACAGGAGTATGTGCGAGATCGTCTCTGCACGCAGTACTTTGAGTTTGTCAAGGTGCAGGCCGATGTCAATGAGAGGTCAGTACTCGCTTTTAAAACAACAACAAAGTACATCTTCAGCAAGTGGAAAGGATGTTCGCACGACCGTTTGCGTACTTTCTGAAAGCGTTAAAACTTTGTGAGAACTTATGCAATTCTGAAGCGCGGCACGGCCTGGCATGCGACATTCTATTGTCCAAGGCCAAGGCCAGGGGGCTGGCATGTGCTGTGTGTCAGTACATGTAGTCGGTATGTGCAACATTGGCTGTATGTCAGCATCATAAGTTCATAACTTTCTACATTATGTTTGACGCTGTGCCTGTGTCTGCTGGTACGCGTCGTTTTGTCTGCAGTCTGGATATTCTCTACCATACGCTGAGCATTGGCCTGCAGGCCGCTCATCCACTCATGCCGTTCGTCACCGAGGATCTGTGGCAGCGACTGCCGCATCCCAAGGGCACGTCGGTGAGCAATCTAGCCGAGATGATGTAGTCACATTGCACTCAAAATCCACACCACAATCCTCATCACATCCTTTATTGCTGAACCCACAAATTGTGATACAGATTGTAAACCATTCAAGGTAAATAAAAAATCCTACAATCCTACAATACAGGATTGTACTAGTACTATCAGATAGTCAAACGATTGGCACTTCGTACAAAACCCCGCATGATGTCTGGGCATACACACACCGTACGAAACCCTGCATGGTGGCGTGGCATACACCCACCTTACAAAAGCCACCGAAGGGGGATCCAAAAGTCTCCCGTGTATTTACTACCCAGTACATGTTTGTACCTAGTCTTGTTTGATGCACTCACTTCAAAGCCCTGTCCCTGATGGGTCGCCTGCAAGTGGGAATTCACAGCATTACGTGGAAAAGGCCAATGCTCTAAACCGTACATGCAGGTGTGCATGGCCTTCTTGTCTCAAGTTGTGTGACCGTCATAGCAGAATGCAGTAGCCTGGTCCTGGCCGCCCGGGACCAGGGTGTTGGGGAAAGCAAACGCGTCCAGTTGGCTGCTACGTTTTCACTTTTGTCCCCGATGGTAATGCCGTGTCTCGACCAGGGCCATGCACTGCCGTAGTATACTCCTCTGTGTGTATGCTGCGTGTACAGGTCATGTTGGTTCTGCATTGTGTGCTGATGTTGCGTATGTGTATCTTCTTGTGTGCATGTGTGTGCACGTGTGTATATGTGTGGATGTGGTGGTGGTGGTGGTGGTGTGTGTATGTGTGTGCATGGATATGTGTGTGTCTGTGTGGCTGTATGCATACACACGGGTGTGTATGTGCAGAAAAGCATTCTTAATTCTACGCTACCGCGGCCGTCTGAGCTTTCCATGTGGCTGTCGCCCGACTTGGACGAGAAGAGGGCCACTTTCCAGGGCATTGCCAAGTAAGAAACCATGGGAGTTCTCTGTTTATATTCCTATCCATGTAACCAGTCTTGTGCAGCTCCTGTCATTGCTTATCTACATATTATGTGCGACACAAAATTACATGTACTTTTGTTTTGTGTGCACAAGTTTTTGGAGTGCTATCACCGACCGGTATACTTGTAGATAAGAAGTAGCACGGCTGTGCAGTCCACCAGCCTTATAGTGCTCAATGTGTAGAAATACACACACAGCATTGGCACACACAGCATTGGCACACACAGCATAGGCACACAGAGCATAGGCACACACAGCATAGGCACACACAGCATAGGCACACACAGCATAGGCACCCAGAGCATAGGCCCACAGTGGAGAGCACACGGAGTTAGATCAGGACCGGTATGAGCGCCTAGGTATAATTATGGAAGACATTGGAAGTACACATGGATCATGGTTTGACGTAAGTTTGAATTTTGAATTCTTTATCCTCACGATGGCACCATCGCCAATAAGAGATAAATTTATAAGAAGGTGAGATTGTGGGTTATGCAGTTGGAAAGTGATTTACATCACTTTGAATTTTACAAGTATGGGAGAGGGTGAGCGCTGCAGGAGCAGATTGAGTTAATCAGCAGTGAGCAGATTTCTTGTTTGAAAGCAGGTCGGGAGGAGACGTCACGAATGCTAGCAGGGAGGGCATTGTAGTATTCTAGGGACTTGTACAGTGGGGAGTCTTTACAGCGATCGGTTCGGGAGGGTGGGAGGTGCCAAGTGCGTGCGTGTCGAAGGCTGTACTGGGCCGTAACTTGAGCGGGGATGTTGAGCATGCGTATGTGTTGTGGGGCATATTGGTATTTTATGGAGTGGGCAAGAATGGTGAGCTTCACTTTGCGGCGAGAGAACATTGTCGGCCATTTGAGCCGATGGAGCAGTGTTGAATGATTCAGAGGAGTGCTTGTCGTGTTGCGTCTGATCAGTTGTTCTGTGTGTGTGTGTGTGTGTGTGTGTGTGTGTGTGTGCGTGCGTGCGTGCGTGCGTGCGTGTGTGTGTGTGTGTACATGTGCTGTTAGCTTTGGCAAGAAGACGATGAGTGAGTTCAAGCCCAAATCGTTGATACTCTGGTGAGACCATTATTGTTAATCTTCAACTGCACACAAATATCCGGATAGGCGAGGGAACCGGATAATCGAACACACGTTCTGTATGTATGGATGACATATGCTGAAAATAGATGACATAATTATGCTGAAAATCGGTAACCAACAATTTTCTTCCTGATGGCGAGGGATCCGGATAAAAGAGGACCGGATAAGCGAGGTCTGACTGTACTGATGTATGCGGCATGTGGGGAGTGTGTTATTAATAGTTCTGGTGAATCACTTCATTCCGCTTTGTCCCGGTGTATGCAAAGGGAATATCAGAAAAAAATGTTGAGGACTCGCTTTTCGCCTTAATAGCGTATGTACTAGTACGTTGCTGTCAAGTTTGGTCGCTTGGTATTGCGGCAACACCACCAGGTTGGTTATCAATTTTAAAGGATAGTTTCCCTTTAAAGCTAGGATGTCCACCAATCTCAGTACTCATAGAACGACCAAATGGTGTAATTTGACATAGGTTTAGTTCTTTTTTTGACAGCGACGTCACTTCATCCTCTTTGCACTCGCCGTGCCTGCACCTCTTCTTGGCTGTCACTCGGCCAGCCCAGTGCTGCGGTGACCAACTACAAGCCCATTTAGTGAGGAGAAACTTCCGTCGGGATGTCCTTGAGCTGGTAGCGTTCTTGAATACTGTATAAGCATTGATGCCAGCCTTATCCAACACGTTGCAAAGGCTTGCAGAGGCTATCGTCTGGATCTAGGCTTGAGTAGATCTGGCACATTTGATTGACATGGTCAACGGCACATTTTGTCTTGTCCTAGAACTGGATGGTGTGAGGCTTTCTGCTCCCGTCTTGCACGACATCTGACTCCAGGTGGTGCATTGTGAGTGGGCAGGATGTTGACAATCTCTTTATTGCCTCCACCTTTTATGGAGAGCACCAGTGCCTTGCGTTCAATGCTTGTAGCCGTGCAGGACAGAGTTCAATGCACGCTTTTTGGCAGTGAAGTAAGGCGGTAGCTCACACCGATTTGCTCAGTGCCTTGTGTTCAATGCTTGTAGCCTTGAAGGACAGAGTTCAATGCACGCTTTTGGCAGTGAAGTAAGGCGGTAGCTCACGCCGATTTGCCCTGACGGTTCCAACAAGAGTCGTTTTCTTCTCTGTCAGTCTCTTGGCCCGCCGTATGCTCGTGAACAATCTATCCGTTTCACCCCCTTTCCTAGGAAAGGCTCCATCAGTGCCACCACGACATATTTGCCAATGTTGACAATCTTATTCTGTCCTGGTCCGATACACAACGCACCAAGTAGAAGTTGAAGGAGGTGTTGTCTTATTATTGATAAGATTGGACAAGAATGCAAGGCTGGACGTGACAAGATTAGAACTGACGATTACTAGACCAAAGCTTAGGCTCCTCGACCAAAGATTCGACGAAGATACGGCTGCATATTTCGATATGCACAGCATGTCAGCATCAGCCAGTATCCAAAAGTTGATTCCAAACTTGCCTGGTTTCGATAACATGTATAGGGTGAAAGAACATCTGGCCTCTGTAGGAAATAGCTGTTCGTCGACAGTCTACATAATGCTGAGGGCTAACAGCATGGCTGGCAGTGCATGCACTGGCTAATTTTTAGTTTATACCGGATTCCCTGCAATAGGCAGGTCTTGTCAGCTTGACATCCTGTTGCACGGTCATCAAACCTCACGAACTGCCGGAGTTGCTTGACTCTGTTTTGGGCCATTGTTTGACGGAATATATCGCGGCCATAATCTCTGGACTAAAGAGCATCGATCGGTTCGCTTTGGGCACACGCCATGCCTCTGGCAAACCGTGAGGACTTATTTAAAAGCATTTCGAGAGTGGCTGCCTGATATCTGTATGATATGGGATGCTGGATCGTTTGAGACGTTGGATAGGGACAAACTGGTTCAGGGTAGTGAGTACTACCCGACGTTGTTCTCTATTGGGATGCAGCAGCGGATACTCTTGAGCCTGTGCAATGGCCAGGGCCACGGATGCTTGCAGCGCGGGACCACTTAGGCCGGGGCTCAGCAGTGCCACCTAGTGTGACAGATGCATCTGGTAGGTCTCCATCAGCCGCTCAAAGCCAGTGAGGAAGACCTCAATATCATCAAATGGCTTCAGTTTGGGGATGGGAACTGTAGTGTTCTCTCAACGTACTGTCTACTTGTGGAAAGCACACCTAACAACTAACTTATCACGGTCTCGTTGGTATGCTCCATAGCCGAGAGCTGATCCTGGGTTAGCTGGGTGACCAGTTGGGTTAAAGGGGAAGTTAAGGCAAAAATTAAAATTTCACCAGTTGTAGTCTTCGGGGTGCTGAGTCGAATGGTCTTGGTCCGAGAAAGCTGAGACGCTCCCTTCCTACTTGAATCCCAATCGAACTCGCGCACTTCCACCGAAACTGGGTGACTGCGCCCTACTAGATGGGGATTTGTATGCAAAATGTCACTAAAAGCGCCATTTCGTTCTTATAAAAGCACGGATGACCGCGATTGGCCCATGTGTTGTACTCTTTTGGATGCCGAGTCGACTGGTTTTGGTCCGAAAAGGCTGCGATGCAGCGTTCCTCCTTTATTCCCAATCGAATATGGTTGAACAAGCGGTCACGTGCTCCTGGGTGCCCAAATCACCTGGTCACCACGCCAGCAGGCGACAACTTTCACACCAAGGTTCAACTCGAGTGACAGGACTGCACCCAAAAAAGGTCAAACAGGCTAGTAAGTTGTACCCTGCAGGCACGGTCACCAGGTGACTGGCGTACGCAGGAGCACGTGACCGCTTGTTCAACCATGTTCGATTGGGAATAAAGGAGGAACGCTGCATCGCAGCGTTTTCGGACCAAAACCAGTCGACTCGGCGTCCAAAAGAGTACAACATATGGGCCAATCGCGGTCATCCGTGCTTTTATAAGAACGAAATGGCGCTTTTAGTGACATTTTGCATACAAATCCCCATCTAGTAGGGCGCAGTCACCCAGTTTCGGTGGAAGTGCGCGAGTTCGATTGGGATTCAAGTAGGAAGGGAGCGTCTCAGCTTCCTCGGACCACGACCATTCGACTCAGCACCCCGAAGACTACAACTGGTGAAATTCTGAGGGGGAAGCCCTCGTCATTGGCCAGCTTCATCTGTTCATAACACTGTAATGTAGAGAGTGGTATTCAACTCCCTGCTATATTCGGAGTACGGTGTAGCAGTTAGAATAAGGGCGTGTAGTTAGATGACGATGACGTGTGTTCCTAAAGGTGAATAGTTTGTAGAGTACATAGGCTAGCTGTTCGTGATACTCCTACCTCGTTTATCAGGGCTGTCCGGGACCGGGCACTGCCCGTAACTTTGAAATGTCCGTAACTCCGAATCACGTACATCTTGTTGGGGAAAAGCCGTAGATATGGCATCCGACGTCACTATTTCCGCGAAAAGTGACAAAAAAGAGTAGTAATATTTCACTGAAACTCGTGCGGTAGACCAAAGTGCCCGTAACTTCGGGGTCCGGATAACCGAGGTATGAGCGTACATGAATAATCCGTTTGGGGATCACAATGCAGGGCATGCAGAAAGAAGAGTGTAAATTATGACAAAATGACATTCGAAAGCCAAGGGAATGGGAGAAACGGTCCCTACCCCCCCCCCCCTCCCCCCGTTAGGGGGGGGGGGAGGGGTATGTACCAATATTGCAATGGCAGGAACAGAACAGGTGTGTACAGTCAACCTTGTGGATAGCTACGTAAAACTCGTGAATAACAACTCTATCTTCAAACCTAGGAACCACTTGACTGGATACTTTCAACCTCACAAATACTAATAACGACAACTCGCCAATACCAACTCTTTTCTCATGCCTGATCGAGAGTCGCTATTCGTGAGGTGCTCTAAAGTGTGGGAAAGGGCAAGAAGTATGGGAGACTTCATGAGACGAGTGTTTTTGGAAAACATTAAAATGTTTTCCAGGGCCAGTGGCTCTCAATTGGGTAGGGGACTCGGCAAAAATAAAGCCGTGGGTGAACTGCGGCGTCAAATCCTGATACTGCCTGCTACACATGCACATGCGTACTCACTTAAGGGATTCCAGTGTGTCTGTTGTTAGTTCTCCATGCTGCTGCTGCTGCCATCTCAATTTATTTGCCGTGCTGTGCAGCACTACACAACGAGAATTTCTCAAGATTTGCGAGGAAAACCAGGAGATGCTGCGAAAGTACTTCTTCGTGCCGGAGTTTGTTGTCAAAGGTGAGTGTTCTGGTATTCCAGTGATGTGTGCAGTTGTCTTAATTCTGGTCTGTGTGCTTGGTTGCTTTTGACCTAGGCCGAGAACCCTGATCTGGCTTCGCCTTTTGTTAAAGGGGGGTATCACATTATGGTGAAGTACACCACGTATCAGTAAATCCACCCAGTGCAGTTGCTTGGGTACTCATAAGAGAGGTTGTGGACAACGAAACTTCGTAAGATTTTTCGCCGTTACGACCTGGCCTGACGAAAGTTGTATGAACTTTTGTTAAATTTCGAGGGAAAAAGAGCTGAACAACGAAAATTACTTTCATTGCAATCACCGTACAGCAGTACGCAGTAATGTACGACACCACACTGCACTGCACTGCACTGCACCACACCACACTACACTGCGTACTGCGTACTGCACTGCACCACACCACACTGCGTACTGCTGTACACTTAGCATATGCATGTCTGACTGTCGAGACCTATTTCCCCGTACTCCGAAAAAATTTGACATTACCACTTTTGCACAACCTCCGGATCAACCGATTTCTGTAGCCTTTTTCGTGGTTGCCTCATCCGTCGAACACTCGTACGGAACTTCGTTATGCGCAACCTCTGCATACAATCATGCACGTGGGGAAATGTTCCACTGTACTTGGATGTGTCAGAGCTTGGTGCCAATGTAAATCCCTTGTGTCACGGTCGCGTGGCCCAACGGATAAGGCGCCTGACTACGAATCAGGAGATTCCAGGTTCGAATCCTGGCGTGATCGAATTTTTTAGTTCGCTGGAATTTACTTTTTTTGGCTCCATTGTGGATGTACATGTACCGGCGGGCATTGGAGTTGGGCACTGATTGGACACTCACTGTCACTGAATGAATGATTTTATTCCCGTAGCTATGCAAAAGACGTTACTTCAGTAACGTCTGGCGCTAGCCATGGTCCACACAGCTTTAATTCCGTGTTTGTTTGTTTGTGCCATCGGCATGCCTGGCACTATCCCGTACCTGTCCCATACCATACCAGTTTCAGTTTCAGTTCAGGTTTGTTTATTTACGGATTCTCCAGAGGTAAATGGATACCTTTCTTGGGAGCCTCACCAAACCAATACAATAATGAAAATAAAATTATGTATGGAGTGGAAAAAACTCAAAATCTGAGATTTTTTTCAAGTCAAAGGAGAGGAAGAACATCAATAGATTGAGAACCAGGGGTGCTAATAGAACACTGGAAAGGCACTAAAACAAAATAACTGCAGTAGCGGATTAAGACTATAATTATTGTTCAACACTTGAAACTAGGTATCCCGAAAACTGAGAAGCAGTAAACTTCATCAAGCTTCCGTACCTGGCGATTAAATAGCGTGGGACTATCGAGTGAACGTTTATCAGCAGGAAGTTTATTCCAAGCAACAGCGATAAGGAAAAGGAAGGATTTAGCGAAGTAACTGCCAGTTGGTGGAAGAACAAGAGACGTGGGGTGTCGGGAGGATGATGAAAATCGAAATTTGAACTCAAAGAGAACAGAAGGAAAGGTGAAAAAAGGAGGACAAAATTAATTGGCTCACCATCCGAGAAGGAAAGGTGTAGACAATGTGGTGAAAATAGCATAATGAAAGGATCTGTAATCGCCATTTTATAGCTTCCCAGCCTGCACGCTGGTTAAGATTTTCTTTTGGAGTCATCCAATCTTGCTTCCTCCCTAATTTGGCGGCAAGATATCCTCTGGCTGCAGATGCTTGTAGCCTACTCATACTATCCTGGTCTTGGACCGTCAGAGAGGAAAACCAGACGGGGATAGAGTACTCTAGGGTAGGGCGAACGTATGACTTATACAAGGTCGAAATGACCGATAGAGGAAAAAAAGATCCATACGACTAAGCAAGAACACTCTGCTACGAAATTTAGAGATAATGGAACGAATGTGCGCACGGAAATCTAGGGAGGGGGTTAATATGACTCCAAGATGGCAATGAGCATCAGGTCGACACAGGCTAGCTTCATTCATCTGAACAGTTCGCTCTGCTGCCGTGGTCCTGCCTGACTGGAGTCTCAATCTGAGACAAGTGAGCCGTAATTATGGTAGTCGGTGGGGAAATGCACAGAATGTTGGAGTCATCCGCAATAAGGCTCAAAGTGTTGGTAGTCACTGTTTGGATACTGTCGATCAGTAATACTATGTTAAATAGGAGTGGGCCTAGTTGAGAACCCTGCGGCACTCCTGCCCCCAACGGATGTAGCGATGAAACTTGATTACCAATTTGAACAAGAATAGACTCAATAGAGCGCCCACAGACAAAGGATCCGAGCCATTTGACTGAAGATGATGAGCAGAATGAGGAGAGAAGATGCAACAGGACCGAATGGCTGGCTTTATCGAATGCCTTTGATAAGTCCAGGTAGGGTCCGTCGCACAAAGCTTTGCTGTCAAAGGCTCTTCTTATTGAGGACGTCATTTGGACTAGTTGGTCAGTGGTGGACCGCTGCCGGCGAAACCCGAACTAGTGCATACGAAGAAGGGTATTGGTCTTCACAAATGTAGACATTTGCTTGCTCATCATACTTTCGAACACCGTCGCAACTCCGTGGAGCAGGGAAATGGGGCGATAAGAGCCAGGACTGCCTTTGCTTCCTGAACCTTTGTATACCGGGATAACAATAGAGGTTTTCCAATCTGATGGAACCATGCCAGAGGTGATACTGAGGTTAAATATAGCTGTTAGTGAATCGGAAATACTGGGAGCTGTTTCTCGAAGGATTCGATTAGGGAGGGGTCCAGACGTGCGTTTGTACCGGGGAAGGTGTGATAGGGTCCAAAGAACACTAGTGGTACTCAATTGCTGAAATTCGAAGGGCTCGACAACCGTGACTGTGGGTAGCGTGGGTAGCTGTGTGCAGTCCGGGGGCTTAGAAGGAGGTGAAGAATACTGAGAGAATAGGCGAGCTAGCAAGTCAGCCTTCTCTAGATCGCTTGTAGCCGTCGAAATTCCATCTGACAGATCAGGAATCGGAGCCCGAGGCTTAGAAAGATTGCATAGTTGCTTGGCTCTCTGCCACCACTTGTGTCCGCCACGGTTCTCCTCAAGACCGGCCGACATATTAGCGTAAAAACGTCGCTTTGCTTTGCGAATTTCGGCAGTGAACGCATTCCTTGCAAGGCGGTAGACTACCCAGTCCGTTGCTCTGCCAGATCGTTTAGCTGTAGCAAAAAGTCGGTCACGGTGTCGACGGAGACGGTGGCGTTTTGCACAGAACCAATGCCGGTTGTTGCGAGGATGGAGGGCTTGTCTCTGCGGTACATACTGCTTTACCACTTCTTCAACTTTGTGAGACCACTTTAACCAAGCCTCTTCGATACTAGTCGATGTTGTGACTGATCTGAGTAGGTTTAGATTGGCAATGGCCTGATTAAGTTCATTCCAGTCTACCTTTGAATAATCGTATATCAACGCCGAGGACCTAGGGCTCGCTGCATGCTTCTGTTTTGAGTTATACTCAAAATCTACAATCACAGGGCAGTGGTTTGATACTGGAGGTAGTACCCACTGGTTCCTAGCAGCTGCTGGGTTGGTAGTTGCGACAAGGTCCAACAAGGTGTGTGTCTGTTTGTTTGTGCCGTCGGCATGCCTGGCGCTATCCTGTAACTGTCCCGTACCGTACCATCAAAGACAGATGATGGCCATGGCCACAATATTCAAATAAGGCTTTCAAATGCAAGATCATAACGTGACGCAATTTGCAAGAATGAGTATGTATGCGAAGTGTATCAGGGGAATGCATGCAGGGCGATAGTGCTGGTTCGAATCCTAGGTTATGTCTTTAAAATAAAATTAGAGAAATGAAAAATGTATAACATCCCTAACCTTTTTTTGCCTAGGTCATCGAGGTGGCAGACGGTGTCGTAATACCCTCGAATGACAAGAGAAAGTTTATTTCTTTCGCTCAGGGCCCTACGCTATGATTTTTTGCCTAGCTCATGCATGTTATTCGAACTGATGGAAACTTTTTGCAATACAATGATGTGGCCGATCAGTTCGTTGTAGTATGGTTGGGCATTGTAGCCGTCATGATCGACGTAAAACACTATAGCCAATCAATGGAAAAAACATTTCCATCAGTTCTAATAACATGCATGATGAGCTTGGCAAAAAAGCATAGCGTAGGGCCCTGAGCTTCCAAGCTCTCTCGTTTTGGACTGTGTAGGTTTAAAAACCCTTTGAGCTTTTATCGCTTTAGGCATTTGTACAGTGCAGCTGTCATTAGGGACCTTTCGCACCATGCGTACGGATACGAAACGAATGCTGATTCGTCGCCTGGGTTCGAGGATTCGTCAGAGTCCCTTATGAGGGTTCGTTTTCACGAATGAAAGCCTCTTCATTCGTGGCACGCTCCGAATTCGTCAGGTACACATTTTTTCCTTGGTTCCATGATCCATGCACGTGTACATGTGAACACGTGTACGCCAAGCTACCGCCTGTATTCGTAGTTGCCATGAAAGTTAGCATGACGACTTACGAAACCTGAATCTGTTTTCAACGAAACGAGGACGAGCCGAATTCATTTCGCATTCGATTCGCAGCAGACGCGAAAGATCCCTAATGACTACTCTTGTCCGACTCTTTTAGTGTTGACTTTCTTGTGTACATGTGCAAAATGATTACCGTTAATGAGCTTTGCCCATGAAAAGAAATCCATCATCACGCTCGCAAGTCGTGGACCGTGGTTGTGTTTGAACAGGTTAAAAAAAAACTCTATGTGACTTTAATTTACCGGTAATCATACTTTGAAGTACAAGTAATCATCCACATTATTTCGACCACAAGAAAGTTGAGCCCAAAGCAGGGCTGCGTACGACCCTGTATCTATCATGCACAGGGTGCAAATAATGTGTGCAGGTTTGTCACGTGATATGAAGTTCTGCCGTCACAGACTACCGTAAAGTCTTGTATAAAAGCCGCGGCTTCTATGACTTTCTTGGTGAAATTTTGCAGGATTCTATATGAGGCAGGCT